GGAAACCACGCTGCTCCCCCCCCTCCCCCCGACACTCTAATCCAGGGGAACTACAAGTCCCATGAGGCATTGCAAGACCGACAGTTATAGGCACGATTTCCTGAGGCATGTTGGGGTTTATAGTTAAAGAACAGCTGGAGGACCGGAGTTGCCCACCTATCTCTAATCTGATGTCTATCAGACCAATAGCTCTGCGGTTAAAGCTCATGCTATCTGCTGATTGGAGAGCTCTAACTCTGACCTAGCAGGGGTGCCACAGATCTCTGGAGAGAGACCACTGCTTCCACATAGGGCCCGCAAGGGTCCTTCCATGCAGCACGTGTTGTGCTGGGAGCCTGCTTAATTCTGCACCCTCATTTACACAGTGGCGACCGGGAGCAGTTAGGATGGGCTCCTGGTCACGTGACCACTATGATATCCAATCACAGTGATTACATGGCTGGGAAAGCCCATGTAGCGGCCCCAGGTGTGAAGAGCACTTAAGGGACCAGCGGTAAAGGGTTAAAGAGCTGCAATTTGCTGCGAGAACAATATTCTGTTCTCTCTCAATAATCTTAAAACCAGACTGAAGCTGACCTACAAACCTTATCCACCTGGAAGGACCACAAAAAGCATAGGGGTGGGCAACTCCGTCCCTCCAGCTGTTGTACAATTACCAAGTCCCATCAGGCATTGCAAGACTGACAGCCACAGGCATGACTCCCAGAGGCAGAGGCATGCCAAGGTTGTCCCCTGCATTATAGTATTCCTCATCGCTCCTTCCCCGGCTGCTACATTAAAGGTTACGCAGGGAGGGGTGGAGGAGCTGGGCCAGCAGAGCTCATAGTTAGAAACTCCTGGACCAGGAGAAGGCTAAGGCGTGCAAAGAAGGAGGGGGCTGTACAAGGGAACGGACTCTTCCCGTCAGGACCTTCAGGATCCAACAATGGTCTGCGGTCACATCATCCAGTCCCCATGTCACAGCAATGACATAGGGACAAAGAGGGAGGGGGCTGTGCAAGGGAACGGACTCTTCCCGTCAGGACCTTCAGGATCCAACAATGGTCTGCGGTCACATCATCCAGTCCCCATGTCACAGCAATGACATAGGGACAAAAGAGGGAGGGGGCTGTACAAGGGAACGGACTCCTCCTGCCAGGACCTTCAGAATCCAATAACAGTCTGCAGGCCCGCACCGTGGTGGGATCACCCGGTGCCCATGTCACTATAATGAAATAGGGAGAAAGAGAGAGGGGGCTGTACAAGTGAACATACTCTTTCTGCCAGGACCATCAGAATACAACACTGGTAGTAAAAACACAGCTGGAGGGCTGGAGCT